TAATTATTTCAGTCATGATTTTAATAATATTATTATATTATATATCATAATTATATAATAATAGTTTTTGTATTATATTAAATATAATAATAAATATATATTATATTGTAATTATTTATGTTATATTATATTATAATATAATATAGTTGTAATTTTTAACTATCTACAGCAATTCAACCTCATAATTTATCAAACACTATTACACTGATTTTAGAATCAGCACAGCTACTATAATTATAATTTACCAAACACTCAGCTGCTTTTTGTAACAGCTGTTTCTTTCTTCAGCACAGCTAAAAGTAATTTTTCCAAAATATATAACACTAACAAACTAAGCCAATGTAAAGGATGATACCAATTGCACATTTGCGGGGGAAAAAAAGTTATGATATTGTTTGTTAATTTGAGTTTGAGATGTAATTTTTTATGAAAGTTTTTTATTGTAGTAAAAAGTTAGATGTAATTATTTTTTATAGTTTTTTACTGTAATAAATTTTAAATTTTAAATTCGAATCAGTAAAATAAATGGGACCTATGATAATGACGTGTTTAAAATGTTATTTTTACTTAGGTAATTGGCACGAGTGGTCTCCAACTTTTTTAATAAGTGATAATTTAGTTCTTAATTTTTTTTATTAAACGACCCTAACTTCCTTAAACAAGTGACAAGTTGGTTCTTTCCGTCAAAATTCGTCTAAATCCTAATAGGAGCCCACGTGACTCCTCGTGTGTCATCTATTTACGATGGAATGACGAAATTGCCATGAGGTTAAGAATTAGTGCAAACCCACGTTGGTCTCTAAACTATTTAGTATGTACTAATTCAGTCCCCAATTATTTATATGGTGACACATTGGTCCCCAATCTAACAGTTTGATCCCTAATAGCACACATTTTAGGTTCTTCAACACAAAATCTACTTTAGATGGCCCAATATGTTACAGAAGAGACCGGCCAAATTCAAAAAAAAAATACATTACATTCCCACAAATGTTTCACAATTTCAGCTTACAAACAAGGTGGGTATTCTACATTTCCTCAAGCTGAGCCTTCAAATCATTAACCCTTCTTAGCAACTTAGGTATGATCATCTTTGATCTTCTACACATAGGTGGGTCTGGCCGACATCCATCATGCTATTAAAGAGTAGAGAAGAAAGGAAATTCAAACACAAATAAAAAATTTCATATTGTAAACAACTGAATAACCCAAAATTAAAGCTTACTCCATATAAATGGCACCCATAAAATCTGCTCCCATGGTTGAAGTCTGTCCAAGAAGTCATCACCTTGTGGGTTTCTGAATCTTACAGGGTTTCTTCCATTGCGGCCCCAATTTGAAAAAATTTCAAGAACCCTAGTTTTTTACACTTACAGAACAATTACCCTTAATGTCAACCCTAAATTATCTTTCTTCTACCATATAAACCACCCTCAAATCAACCAAAGATGTGTTTTTACACATATACCCCAAGTTTAAGGAGTCACGTGGGCTTCTCCCGTTAGGATTTAGACGGATCTTGACAGAAAGGATCAACTTGTCACCTGTTTAAAGAGGTTGAGGTCGTTTAATAAAAAAAAGTTGAGGACTAAGTTGTCATCTACTAAAGAGATTGAGGACCATCTGTGCCAATTACCCTTTTTATTTATATTTAAATGCAAAATGTGATTTCAAAAGCTAAATTTATGTTTTGCAATAACTAATCATTAAGTTGGGAAGTAGTAAAAAATTTTAAAATAAAAATGTAGATGTTGCCATGGTTAAATAATAACAATTAATTATCAAATTTATCATATGTTATATTTGGTATAACATATAATAAATTTAGTAAAAAAAAATAACATTGCATTTATGTGTGATTTTTCTACTCAAACACTAAAATTTAATGTTAATATATTAATTTAATATTGCATTAGAGATGCTATAACAATTTTTTCTTTAATAAATAAAATATGAAATGATGGGTTTTAATTGGGTTTTTTTTTTTTGTTTTTTTTTTTTAAGGGCCGAGGCATGAAGAGTGAGAAATATAATCAATTAGTCATAATACTTATCTGTAATAATATAATCAAGTTTTGTTACAATAATGTTTTAAGTTACTTTCACAGAAAAATTAAATTTGTTGAAATTCTTGTAAGAAAAAAAGTTATAACAAAAACAGTATTTTAAACTAAATAATTTTAACTCAAATCTCAGCAAAATTATAGTAATAATAATAATAATAATAATAATAATAATAAATAAATAAAATATGTTTGACTTTATAAGTTCATGTGGTTGAAAAGTTT